TCAAGAAACGTTTCTGATTATTATCAATGCTATAAACAGTTGTGCTGTATCATATTTTTTGTGGAAACCATGATTTTTCCCCAAGATTCTTTGATTAATATAATTTTTTTTTTTAAATCTGCATTTATTTGAATATAGCATTTTTGTAACATAAATGTCGGTACTGCTAGTTTTGATATATTTTTGCATCCTCAAAATATCTTAGCTTAAACTTTTGAACAGTAGTGAATATTACAACAGAAACAAAAAGTTAAATGCAAATAAAATAAATTCAGATGTTGATCAGATTGAAGGACAGTACGGAGCCCCTAAGGGGACGTGGTGGTGGAAAAAATATGAGATGGGAGGAAAAGTAATAAGTCAATGCTTTTACGTTCTCTCGCAAAATGTTTGCGTTCCCCGAGAAACTTTGGCATTCGCTTTGTGTTCTTTGCGAGTTAACACAGTTTCTTGGGGGAACACAAAACATTTGTGAGAAAACGCAAAAGCCTTGCCAAAAGTTCCTCCCATCTCATATTTTTTTCGTCACCATGTCCCTTTACAGCCTCCGTAGGACAGACTGAATGTAACTGTTGGAAAACTGGTGTGCATTCACAAAAGTTGTGGTGAGTTGGTAAAAGGTTTGTGCATCTGGTGTTTGTCCTGGTAGGGCTCCCCAGGAGAGGTGCTGAAGGACCCTCGGGTGCAGTGCTGGATCGAGAACTATCGCAACCTGTTGGACGCCTGGAGGTTTTGGCATAAACGGGCTGAATTTGACATTCATAGGAGCAAACTGGATCCCAGCTCAAAACCACTTGCACAGGCTAGAATCATATTTTTTTCTACCAGCTGTTAAGTTTTGATTAAGCATGCATGATACGATCACTGACCTATGTATCATTCAGTGGTTTTTTTTTAATGATCAATCTGATTTAACTAATGCTGTTATTTTTGTGATGCTTTTTTACTATCAAATAAAATTCTAGAACACATTTTTGTATATGGTAGGGACTTATAATATTGTTTGTGAGCCATGACATAAAAATAATTATCAGTGAATTCCTAGCATGAAATGGTTGCATCCTTCAGCTTAAATTTAGTCTTTTGGCTATTTCTGATTTTCTTCTATTATTTTTTATGTATTCTGATCTGTGCAGGTGTTTGTGAGCTGTAACTTCTGCGGTAAGTCTATATCATACAGCTGCTCGGCGATACCACATCAGGGCCGTGGATTCAGTCAGTACGGGGTCAGCGGTTCGCCCACCAAGTCAAAGGTCACCAGTTGCCCTGGCTGTCGTAAACCACTTCCACGCTGTGCCCTCTGCTTAATGAACATGGGCACCCCTGTGTCCAGCTGCCCAGGTAACAGACGGATCATTTAAAGTTCCTCTTGATAAATGATGATATAATGCCCACATGTGTTCAGCTCATTGTGAGTCTCATCCATCTTATCAGCAAAAGCAGATGAGAAAGCCGATCTCACACGAGACAAAAAACTTGCACAGTTCAATAACTGGTTTACCTGGTGCCACAACTGCCGGCATGGTGGTCATGCGGGTCACATGCTCAGCTGGTTCAGGTAAGAGTCAAATTCACCCATATTATGCCTTTTATTTGATAGCATTACAAATACAAATACACTACTGTGCAAAATTGAGTTGAGTTGGGGTTAGTAAGATTGTTTTTAAATTCAGCAATAGCCCTATTTGGATGGTAATTGTTTCTCATGAGGGAAGACATTATTAATACTTACAGGGGTTAGTCAGTGTTATTGCTGTCCGAATCCAGAATGTCAGTGTTTTTCTCCCACCACTTGTGTGAAAATACCCAGCCGAATTACCTACTGTTTCTTGTCAAACACCAAGGTCGTGTGGTAATTTAATTCCTGTTCAAATCCACATCTCTGAATTTATTAGAGGATCAATCTAAAAATCGTTTTGTAAATCCTTTTTGACCACTGCTAAGCAACATATAGTAACTGTTGCACTTCGATGTAATTTGCATGAATTTTAAAGATGTACACTTTTATTACTGAAATGCTGGAAAGTATTTACAAGAACAATATTTCATTACTGCTCCACTACATTTGTTCTCCACTACAAGAATAAAATGAGAATAAAAGCATGTAAACATTTGAAATGGGCCATTATTATGGCAGCAACACGTATGCAATACAATTTAAAAATATTTTATTATATACAATTATTAACATAAACCAAGTAGACAAGTCGATTGTTTACCTTATTTAAATAAGAGGTTGCATTAACTTATTTCTGCTATTTACCATTTCAAATATGTATAACACATCAGTTTTCCTGTTTTAAATAGGATATTTAAATGATCAAATAATAAATGGGATATTGTTTTCCTATTATTAAATTAAATATAAATATATTTATATTATTCCAAGCATATGTGAGCATTGTTTTCCCAGGTTCGTAGGATCACATCGTTCGTTTACCGTGAAAAAAATTGCCATACGAATGCACGAGTTTTATTACTGAGGTGCCATGTAATTTTTTTTGTCCACTTGAGAAATAATTACCGTCCATATAGGGCTAATGATGCATTAAATGTATCAAATGTGACCGTAAAGACTTTCACATCAAAAGTTATTTTTCAAATAAACGCTGTTCTTTTGAACTTTCACATTTTCCAAGCATATTAGAATGATTTCTGAAGGATCAAGTGACACCGAAGACTGGAGTAATGATGCTGAAAATTCAGCTTTGATCACAGGAATACAATTTTCTAAATATATTAAAATAGAAGAGAGTTATTTTAAATTGTAATAATATTTTTCTGCATTTTTGATCAAATAAATGCAACCATGGTCATCAAAAGAGACTTCTTTCAAAAACGTAAAAAAATCGTACCGACCCTAAACTTTTGAACGGTTGTAGTGTATAGTATGGAGTACAACATTTTAAAAGTAATATTGTATATTCTTTCCTTTCAGAGATCACAGTGAGTGTCCCGTGTCGGCCTGCACCTGTAAATGCATGCAGCTGGACACCACAGGCAACCTGGTGCCTTCTGATAGTGTATAAAGGCCTGCCTGCCTTCGTTTTCCAAGTTAAATCTGCCATGTTACTAGAAGCCAGCTACCAACACTAGTACTGTAAGTGATGAGGGAAAAGATCTCACGGTTTCAGGAGGACGAGCATACGTGTCTTTCTGAAGTGATCTGTACACCTCACTTGCATTGATGACAACGACAGGTGTTCTATTGTCACAGGAACCAAAGCAGTTAGACTGTTAGGATTATGTTACCCATGATTAACTCACCCACCCACGGGCAGTTGTGCTTCCTGAGAAAAGTGTCCATATGAATGTCTGACCAAAGCATTTGTGATTCAGGAGCAGGAATTTCAATGAATAAAACTATTTCAGTATTGAGTTTAGAGACAGGAAAAGGGATATTACAATAATTTCAACATGATGAGTTTGAATACATGTGAGAAATGTTTTGTTGATGTCTTATAGAAAGTGCTTTCACGTGGTCCATCACTACTTCCATTACTTGCCTTTGAAAAATTCATATTTCTTTAAAAGGAACCACCATCGTAGAGGTGTTGTACATCAGGTTAAGGGAAGCCCAGGTCAAGAGAAATGATTCTCACTGGAAAGTACTAAAAATAAAATTCAGTTTGTTTTTAAAAAATTGCTTTTAACAAATAACACAGTGATTTTGGTTGTTTAAAATGTGTACTTTTAACATTAGTTCTGGCTAAGTGTTGCATTTTTGGATCTGAAGGTAATGTAAAATGCTGTTTTGTAGTTCTTACCTTAATTTATTGCACAATCAATGCAACAACTAAACATCCTAACTATTTACATGATTGTCTTTATTTTTGGAAAAACAAAAAAGAACTTCCATTGAGGACTAATGTTATTAAAACACTTTTCTGAAGGAGTTTTGAATGAAGTCTTTTTTTGTTCTTCAATGTGATTTTATACCGATTTTCAGTGTAATGAACCACGATGCATTAGCAGTAATTAAGAAATTAATTGTTCAGATCAAGTTTCAAATCTGACTGTAAGAACATGTCTGAGTTAAAGCTCACCCCAAAATCAAAGGACAAAATAAGCCTATTTTAAGGATTCCAGTTTTTGTGGATTGTGACACTTTCAAGACAATAAAGCCATTGAAACCTTTTTTAGTCCTAAGAAAGACAATTTGCAATTTGAGACATGGGACTCAAGACTTTCCTATAGTTTTCCTGCATAGATTTTTTGAAAATAATGTGTAATATATGGTAAAATACGGTCTGTGGTTAACATTAGTCTCACGTTTTGTTCTGCAACATAAATTGCAGTCATACCTCTAATTCAGATTTGAGTTATGGCTGTAATTTATGGTGTAGAACAAAACAAAAAGAAATTCTTGAAGGAACCCATGACAACATAGCCTTCCCTTGGAGACTTTGGTTGAAAAATGTGCTTTGTCATGACTCATGAGAACTAATATAATTGTCCTATCAATGCCATCATACTGAGCTTCAGTTCAGACCCATGGCTGCTTTGAGTCTGAACAAGAACTCAAATGAGATGTGAGTTTAGGAAGAGAAAGCTGGTGTTCGGTTAGGAATGATTAATTAACTGTGCCCTTTCTCACACAATTTACATACAACAATTTCATCTGTGTATGGACTACTTTCATGATGTTTTTGTCATTTTTGGAGCTCAACAAATGGAGTCTTTTCAATGGAAAATATCAGCATATGGGAAACTATTCCTTTAAGATCATGTCTAGATATCTCATTCTCAAATAATGATTTCCAGAATGTAAACAAGACTCCTACACTTTCTCTGTTCAGAAAATGAGGCAACATAAAAACATTCCACAGCTCCAAAGCAGAATGCTTATTTTTCCATGCAACACTAAACCCCGCCCCGGCAGGAAATGCAGTGATCTCATTGGCTCTTCGCGGAAAGAAGGAACGCATAAGCCAATAGTGATCAAACAGCGCTGGTCTCTGCTCCAATCAGAAGCAGCACTCACGCGTCTTCCGCCCGCCCACTGCCTTTACTGCAACATCTGTCAGCTCAGGAGGACTGGAGAGTTTGGTCCTGCTTCTGAACTTTGCGTCCGATTTGTTTCAGAGTTTTACAGGCAGTGACAATTTAATACGCGCACAATAGATTAAGAGGAACCAAAGTTTAAAAATAGACCAGCTTTTCGCATGAACGCGTTTTCAGTTCTCCTTCTGGAGTTTATTGTGTCTCGTGCGCATTTACGCACCAAGTGCAATAGTAAGTCTAGACTTCAGCCTGTTTCTGCCAGTGTCCCCCTGAGATGGAGTGATGAGAGATCTCTTTCATTCTTTCAAGACACAGCAGAAGTCCTTCATCATCATTCCCATCCTCATCCTCACAACATGAAGCAGATCACCAAGCCCATCAGGATCCCATCAGAGAATCACTTTATAACAGCAGGGAAAGGTACGTTTTATTTATTTGGCAAGTTTTGAAAACGTGTCAGCACTCAGCAGCATCTTATTTTGTAAATGCATAATGCATTTTTAGTTTTTAACCTCTTCTAACTTTAGTTTCTAACACTTTACTATGAGGTTGAATTTGTTAACATTAACTGTCTTGAACTAACAAGGAACAATAGGGGACCTGAGACCCAGACCAACATCACATTTCTGTGGTCATCACAGATCTCAAGACCTCGATATGTGTGTGTGTGTGTGTGTGTGTGTGTTAATGTACAGTATGTTTTCGTACGTTTTATTGTAATTCTTGCATTTCAAGTTCTTGTTTTTGTCATCCAGCCATAAATTATGAGTATATCAATTGAAAATTATATAAAATTATTATAGCAGAACAGTTTATCACACCATTTTGCGAAGTATCATATATTTTAATTTTATAATCATTGCGCTGCTCCCTGGAAGTCTGATTCTGGTTAGTTGAGGTTTTCAGCATTGAGCTATTTTCATAATAATGACACTAAACCTCATAATTGACCGTCCCAGTCAATCATTTTCCTATATCTGTGCTTCATGTCTCTTGTATAATCATTATTTCATGTTCATTTATTTGTTTATTTGACAAGTAGCCATATAATAAGCGGGATATTATACAATCAGATGATTATCATCACAAAATAAATCAATTTTGGTGGGGGGCTAATGCTGATTCATAAAGACTGTGGTCTCTAAAAAAGTTTTATTTTTCAATAATAACCAGCTGACAGCAGATTAACCACAATGCACCTCTGAACATGTTCCCTCAGGTGACGTGCACTTCTCTTTAATGTAATTCTATAGTCACATTTACTATGTTCGGAATAGCATACTAACATACTATCCTGGTATGCAGAATATATATACTTTGCACAGTATTTTTTGTATGGATGAAATATCCGAATAACCTACAATGTTTGCTGAAATGTCGAGGAATTCTGTATCCCACAATGCAATGTTCTAAACTTGACCTTCTGTTTCAAGTATGATGAGTATGAACTGGAAGCGACTTCAGTCTTGACCTTTACAGCTGATCTATATCTTGATTTCGTATTTGATCAGTCTGACAAATGTTCATATATTTTTACAATTATTTTAATATATTACAATATTGAAGATTTTTTGTTCTTAGATAATAATAAACGCACATCACTCACTGAATTAAACATGACACATCTGACAATGTAGCACGCTATTTTTTGAAACATTACTTTGTTTTATAGTACATACACACTAATTGGTATAGTAAGTAGTGTTATATAGCTAATGCACAGTAGTTAGTAAGCCAGTATTCCATTCTGAACATGGCCTTTGTGTTTCAATTGTTCACAAGTGTTTCATTGTGCGTAAGTTCACGTCGTAAGCAGAGAATTTTAAAAACAACGTTCTTATATGAGTAAACTACTATTGTCCAACCGTTGTGGCCTGGCAGGCTGTAGCGCTTAAGACAGCTCTCTATCTCTCGTCCTCATGGAGTGCCTGATGCTTGTGTAGATTTGCATTTGAAACGCTTCTCCTTCACACAAAGACCTTGCAGCTGCCTCGCTGCAATCTGCAAGTGAATGTAGTGTAGCCGTCCCCCAAACAAGTGCATTGAGAAAAGGTGTGTGTTCTCGGCTGAAAATGTTTCGGAGCTGATGTTATCATTCAGGCCGCTTCAGAGTTTGAGGCCTGTACCCTACTGTAACCAGCCATGCCGCGACACGTCTTCTCATGTCATGAGTGTCGCTTGCAATGGTGTTTATTTTTTGTACATTGTTGTAAAACAATGAGCAGGGAGTAAACCGACAGTGCCATTTTGTTGGCTCTTTTGCATAGGCTTTGACATTTGTGTTTGCAGAGCTGGAGCAGAGAGCAAACACACGTAGGAATCGCTCTGTGGGCTGCATGCAAGCGGGTTGTTTTGAATTTCAGCTGTTGGTGCATGTGTGTACATGCATGTGGGTTTCACTGTGAGCAGTTTCACTTCGTTTCATTTCCTCCTGAGTGTCCTCTGACTGTAACCTTTATGTGAGAACAGTCATTTATGTATTATATAATACATTATACATTATATATATGAGCATTGCATTTTGGGATCCAGAAATTGCAGGTTATTCATCCATACAAAACGAATACTGTATATATATATATATATGCAAGACAATACAATACGATATATGCATTTTTTACAAAACAAAAGTTATCAGTTGATAAAGTCATTTATTGACAGTGTTAAGTGCATTCAGTTCTGCATTGCAATTATATTATATTAGTTATATATTATATTAAAATTGTCATTAAATTTCTTTATATGTATACTATTCTTTCCATTAATTATATTTAAAGCTGCAGTCTGTAACTTTTTTGGGTTAAAAATTATCCAAAATAAATTTTTGAGCAAGTATAACCAGCCAGTGTTCAAAACTCTCTGCTTGCCTTAGCTCAATTCAAAACGGTAAGCTTGTAATAATGTTTTTAACTCCAGTGGTACTGGTGGATTCCCACGGGAGATTCGAGCATGTCTTTGAGTCATTACGTCACATCTGTCCCCATAAAGAAGAGTCTCGGCTAGTAGGCTATATTGAGTCATTACGTCACATCTGTACACATAAAGAAGAGTCTCGGCTAGTAGGCTATATTGAGTCATTACGTCACATCTGTACACATAAAGAAGAGTCTCGGCTAGTAGGCTATATTGAGTCATTACGTCACATCTGTACACATAAAGAAGAGTCTCGGCTAGTAGACTATATTGAGTCATTACGTCACATCTGTCCCCATAAAGAAGAGTCTCGGCTAGTAGACTATATTGAGTCATTACGTCACATCTGAACACATAAAGAAGAGTCTCGGCTAGTAGGCTATATTGAGTCATTACGTCACATCTGAACACATAAAGAAGAGTCTCGGCTAGTCGACTATATTGAGTCATTACGTCACATCTGAACACATAAAGAAGAGTCTCGGCTAGTAGGCTATATTGAGTCATTACGTCACATCTGAACACATAAAGAAGAGTCTCGGCTAGTCGACTATATTGAGTCATTACGTCACATACACACATAAAGAAGAGTCTCGGCTAGTAGGGTATGTTGTGTGTGAGGATGCTGGAGGTGGAGATTTATAGCCTTTTCTCACAGCACTTGATATAATTAAACTTATCAATTTGATGGCGGATCCAGAAAGGTTCAAACGACGATCACCAGTGACAACAGACTCACCCGCTGTAAAATGCAAAAGACTTCGGAGTGGCTACAGAAAACAAGAGACTGCAACCGGCCCATGCGAAAACAAGGACAAATATCGGAAGGGCATTAAATGTAGTCACGCAATGCTGATGTTGAACATTAACAATTTGAGAACAAAGTATAATTTTTGCACGGTTTTACGTGATATGATAAGAGATTGTTAGATTTAATCAGCGCGATTTACTGCAATGATTTTTTTCCCTTAGTCGGTCAGAACAAAAGTGGATGTTACTTACTTGTTCAGATGACATTTTCCTGTGAAAATTATGTTGGTCATACTTCCAAAAAGAATAATCTGTGATTCTGAATGGCATTATCGACACCGGCGCGGCGACTGACAGCCTCACACTCTCCTCAAAACATTGTGTTCATCCGCGCTGTGCCGTGCCGAGGCACAACCCACGTAAAGTTGATAATTCCGCGAATAACTGCAACTGCAGATTTCAAACAGAGATGGCGACAAAGAGGACAAACTGCGGACTGCAGCTTTAATAATATTATAATTCAATAGGATTTTAATATTATTTATTTTCTTTATTATTTTATGAGATTTATATTATTATTATTATTATGTTTATTATCAGTTTTGTTTATTAAACTCATCCTGCACCTACAGTTTAATTTATGTTTGTGCCATAGAATCAGAGAGATTTTTGGCTGATGGATCATAAAATGGGCTAAAAAATAAAATAATAATCCCATAGACTTGTACTGAAGGAGGGACACTGAGCCATATCTATCAATCTTTTAGGCCTTTAAGCAGACTAGTAACTATAACATTAGTTATAGTTAAACACGAGTCAAATTTTCTTCAGAAAATATAAATATTAAGTTTCTGTTGTTTCCATTCTATCATAAATACAATCCGTTTTTGTTCTGTTTCAGTACCGCTATGACATTGCAGGCAAATGCTCATCAGTTTCCAGTGACACCCACCAACTTCCTCTCTGTCACCATAATGCAGTAATTTCTCATGTCACTGTCCACTGCATACATAATCATAAACACCTCTGTTTTTTCTCGCAAGCACGATCAGCCAGTCGGCAGCCGCTCTCATTGGACAAGCTGCCTGAGCAGTACCTGATTGGACAGTGGCCACGAGAGCCGTACCAACCCCAGCCGTCCTGTATGAGTGATAAAGCCACACAGGTCAGTCAACGTTACATGCAATTTACTTCACAGTATAGTCCCCTAAAATAAAGAGTCACTTAAAATGCCTGAAAATCCATTGCATTAGACCACAAAATATCAAACAAGTTGCATCTGCAAACCATTGAAATGTGACCTATTTTTATGAACTAACTTCACATCATTTTTACTCAATGATTTAATAATGTTTCACAAACACAAAGTGTGAAATCGTGTTCACAACCAATTTTACGTCCATAATCAAATGTGTTTCCAAATTAAATAGGATATTAAACAATACAACATGTTCATTTTATCCATCAGGAAATGATTTAGTAAAAAGTGGATGTTACGTTCCATGTGTATTTGTGTGTGTTTCTGCTGCTCTCTGTGTTACATAAAATGGAGCCAGGTGGTTATGAGAGTTGAAAAATAAGAGGCCAATGACATAAATAGAGCAGGAAAGTCATTGCAGAGATGGTGCAAATCAATACATTTTTAATGAAAGATTACAAAAACAATTTGTGTGTTTCTTTTTAAATATATTGTGCACCAATGAATTGTGAAATAAAAATAAAATATTTTAAAAATAAAAAACAGTGCAATGTATTCCAGGTTTAAAAGTCATTTAGGAGGGCTATTGCTTGTGGTAAAAAACTGTGGCAAAACTAATTTTGAATTTAATTTCTATGGGTTTATCACTTAACACGTTTTTATGAAAGTGGCATTAACAGAGTGGACGTGTCTGTGTGTGTGAGTGTGTGTATATATATATATATACACTCACCGGCCACTTTATTAGGTACACCTGTCCAACTGCTCGTTAACACTTAATTTCTAAGCAGCCAATCACATGGTGGCAACTCAGTGCATTTAGGCATGTAGACATGGTCAAGACAATCCCCTGCAGTTCAAACCGAGCATCAGTATGGGGAAGAAAGGTGATTTGAGTGACTTTGAACGTGGCATGATTGTTGGTGCCAGAAGGGCTGGTCTGAGTATTTCAGAAACTGCTAATCTACTGGGATTTTCACGCACAACCATCTCTAGGGTTTACAGAGAATGGTCCGAAATAGAAAAAACATCCAGTGAGCGGCAGTTCTGTGGGCGGAAATGCCTTGTTGATGCCAGAGGTCAGAGGAGAATGGCCAGACTGGTTCGAGCTGATAGAAGGGCAACAGTGACTGAAATAACCACTCGTTACAACCGAGGTATGCAGCAAAGCATTTGTGAAGCCACAACACGCACAACCTTGAGGCGGATGGGCTACAACAGCAGAAGACTCCACCGGGTACCACTCATCTCCACTACAAATAGGAAAAAGAGGCTACAATTTGCAAGAGCTCACCAAAATTGAACAGTTGAAGACTGGAAAAATGTTGCCTGGTCTGATGAGTCTCGATTTCTGTTGAGACATTCAGATGTTAGAGTCAGAATTTGGCGTAAACAGAATGAGAACATGGAACCATCATGCCTTGTTACCACTGTGCAGGCTGGTGGTGGTGGTGTAATGGTGTGGGGGATGTTTTCCTGGCACACTTTAGGCCCCTTAGTGCCAATTGGGCATCGTTTAAATGCCACGGCCTACCTGAGCATTGTTTCTGACCATGTCCATCCCTTTATGGCCACCATGTACCCATCCTCTGATGGCTACTTACACCATGTCACAAAGCTCTAATCATTTCAAATTGGTTTCTTGAACATGACAATGAGTTCACTGTACTAAAATGGCCTCCACAGTCACCAGATCTCAACCCAATAGAGCATCTTTGGGATGTGGTGGAACGGGAGATTCGCATCATGGATGTGCAGCCGACAAATCTGCGGCAACTGTGTGATGCCATCATGTCAATATGGACCAAACTCCCTGAGGAATGCTTCCAGCACCTTGTTGAATCTATGCCACGAAGAATTGAGGCAGTTCTGAAGGCAAAAGGGGGTCCAACCCGTTACTAGCATGGGGTACCTAATAAAGTGGCCGGTGAGTGTATATATATATATATATATATAAATATGTATGCATAATGATAAGCCAAAACATTCTGACCAGTCACAGGTGAAGTGAATATCGTTGATCATCTCCTAACAAGGCCACATATTAAGGTCCGGGTAGAATGTTACAGACTGGTGACTGGGTCAGAGAATCTCTGAAACGGCAAGGCTCGTGGGTTGATCCCGGTCAGCACTGGTGAATTAACCAACAGTGGTCTGAGGAGACACAAACCACAAACCGGCAACAGGGTGTTGGGCGCCCAAGACGAAGGCTAACCCGTCTGGTCCGAGCCAACGGAGGGTTTACTGTGGCACAAGTCACACAACATTTGAATGATGGTTATGTGAGGAATGTGTCACAACACACAGTGCATCACATTTTCCTGGGGAAGTGATGCACCAGGATGGGATGACGGTGGAGGGAGTGTGATGCTCTGGTCAGTGTTCTGCTGGGAAACACTGGGTCCAGCCATTCACGTGGATGTAAACTTGACACGTGCCACCCGCCTAAACATTGTTATAGACCTGGTACACCCCTTCATGACAATGGTGTTCCCTGGAGAAAGTGGCTCTTTCAGCAGGATAATGCACACTGCACACATTGTTCAGGAATGGTTTGAGGATCTCAATCCAATGGAGCATTTGTGGGATGTGCTGGACCAACAAGTTTGATCCAGCTCCACCTCACAATCCTCAGGACTTGAAGGATCTGCTCATCTTGGAGTCATCTTGGGTCGGCGCTGTGTTGGCAGCATGCGGAGGACTAACATATTAGGTAGGTGGTCAGAATGTTTTGGCTCATCGGTGTGTGTGTATGTATATAAATTTCAGTATATTCAATCTTTGACATTAAACAATGGAAAAGGGTTGAAAAAAGTAATGTCAGTCACTGTAGAGGCAACACAAATATTATTTGCACCGAAACAATTTTTGTAAGATTTCAAATAGTGTGCACCAATTAATAATTCACAAAAAAGGTCCATTCACACCAAGAACTATATAACTTTAAAGGTAACAATAACTGTATTAGTGTCCACACCAGTGCAAGATATTGTTCTGTTTGTGCTGCAGTTTTGTCATCTTTTGCTTTAAATGCTCGAATTCTGAAAGCAAGATTGATTCTGATTGACTGTCAATGTTTTTATCATTCATCAGCTGGAAAAAAAAAATCATTTTGAAAGTGATTCTAGCGATATTCTTTGCTTGTTAGTTGTGCTGTTTTTGACTGGTCTTACTCTGTTTTGTTTCCTTTCTTCATTAGTATCATGAAGTCTTTGAGTGCTCAGTGGTTTAGCTCTGCTGAGACCCCTCGCCTCCCCAAAAACAAAACCGTCACAAAGGCCGATGCTTCGTGGCAGTCTGTCGCCATAGAAAGTTCTCTCTGGCGTTGTGTGGAGTGAATTCTTTCTGGAGGTGCAGCAGTTTGCACCTGTCGCTCTGTGTGTGTGTATTTGTGTGTAGGTGTGTGCACACGCTACCTAAGGCTTGCGAGCGCATGTCTGTGTGTCTCTGCACCACCTGGCGCTCTCCGACAGCTCTTTGTGTGCCTGTGGTGAGCTGCCTGCAGTGAGATCCATACATATGCTAATGTGTGATCCGGCTCGCGGAGGCCTCGCGCTCCCAGAGTCAGAATCATCCCGTTTCTCTCGACGTCTCTCTTCACGCCGCAGAGCCATGCCGAGGCTCTTTGTTGACAGTAGCAGCTTTTGCCATTGTTTAAAGCGCTTGGTGAATTGATGATTAGTGTTTAAAAACTTCTCATGGACTGTTTTCTTGGTCAACATGAAATCAGAATTGACCCTGTTTGCTTCCTGAAATGGTTCATTCACCCCCCCAAAAAAATGAAAATTCTGTCTCCCTTTGTGAAAAAGAAGTATGCTTGTATGTATTGAATGTTCACTTGTTGTGTAGTTTAAATTTTTAAAGTATATTTTTAAACACTGTGCTTATAGATAACTTTCATGGCTGTTTCTTAACACACTTAAGTGCGTTTTTAAAATTAAATGCATTTTAAATTAAATCATTGTTTTGATAATATTTTGTCATGCTTTATAGAAGTATGCTTAGTTTGTACTTATGTTGACTAACATACTAAAGCATGTAAAATACTTTGTTAAAATTTTAAATGTAGTTTTAATTGATATTACATTTAAAGTGAATATTTGTTTTAAGCATTTGCAACTTCATTACATACTTAAATGCATTGCATACAAGTTTCAATAGAATATACTTTAGTGTACTTTAGTTGATGATACATTTTTGTCAGTACATTCAGCAGTACACATTTAAACATATTTTAAAGACAATAGAAGTAATTATACTTAAGTAAGTCCTACTTAAGTGGGTCAAAAAAAGCACTCTTAAGTTCAACAAATTGCATTCAATATAAATTTTAACTATTATATATAACATGCAATAATAAAGTGTCTGCAAACATTACATTCAGTTCGTATTTAAAAAGATATTCTTTTCAAGAAAATGTTATTATTTCCATAAAACCACAGTCAGTCCAAACCAGTATGACTTGCTTTCTTCTGTTTTTTTTTTTTTTCAGTCAATGGGGTCCAATATAGTTTTCGGCCCCATTGATTTTTATTATATGGACCAAAACAGTTGAAACATTCATAAATATTCCTTCACCGTTCACTTTACTTTTTCACTTTCGAAGAGGTTTATCAGCCGGCACCACAAAACAAAACACATTAAAGACAAGAAGAAAATGAGTATCTGGAAAAAGATGCACTTATTTGTGGTGCCTTTTGTCCATCTTTTGTGGCTGTTTGTTTGTTCGTCTTTTTGTTGCGGTTTTGGTCAAAGCGGCACATATGCTGTTTGCCAACCACAGACATCCTGTTGTTGTTTTATGAAAAATTTACATATCTAGGTCACATGATTTCAAGAATATATTCTGTATAGGACATAATTTAAAGTCAGCATGATTATTAATATTTAGTCAGTGTGTGCATGGTTGAACATGTTTTGACCATGTTTATTGCAGACGCCTGGATTTTGGACTGAGGATGGAGGAGAGGTTAACGTACACAAGCGCTCGGCATCATGGGGGAGCGCTGACCATCTCATAGAGGTATGCATGAAAATACTTACACGTAGACAGTTTTTACACTTCAAAAAAATGCCTTTCAGAATGTGTTCACACTTGGCATGTTTGGTTTGATTAAAACGAACCCTGGTGCGATTGCTCTGTTAGTGCGGTTCATTTGTGAACGCTGCCATCTGAACCCTGGTGCACCAAACAAGAGGACCGAGACGCTGAAAACATGAGTCTCCTTCACTTCCAAACGAACTCTGGTGCGGTTCGACTGATATATGAACGCAACATGGACCAAAGACATCTAAATTAACCAAAACAGGATGTGATGTAACAAGATGTGACCCTAAAAAGAATGCTCAAACATCTTATCGTGATACAGGCTACATTGCCCATCACAGTTTGGTACATGCATTGGAAACGCCAATTAATTTGTGTGTGTGACGGAGGAATTCCTGGCACTGTTTTATAAACTCTTTGTGAGTTCTCAGCTGGTACAAATACCATCATACTGTATGTACGCACATACAACGAGCGCATTTATCCCAGGACACTGCGTTGTTTTGGATGTTTGGTAAGTTTCGTGGCAAAATATACGTCATAAAAGCCATTTTTTGTTTTGTATCTTTAGGTTCGGTGTTAAAAATGACAGTGTGAATGCTAAGTGAACCAGGACCAAATGTACCAAAGTTTTATGTTTTGGTCTGGATTAAAAGAACCGAACTACATGTGTGAACACAACACACCCTATAACAGGGTCGGGAACCTATGGCTCGCGAGTCACACATGGCTCTTTGACAAAAGTCATGTGGCTCGCCAGGTTTCTCACCCTTCACCAGCATATGATCATTAAAAACTTAGACACATCACTAGAGATCAGTTTCCAATTATATTTCAAGTTGTTCCGTCCAATTTGCGTGCGCAGTGCTGTGTGATTTGCAGAGAATTTGTTTGCGAGTCCCGAAGATTTACAGGTGCGAGTTTGGTGATAGAATGAAGTTGTCACTCGCGTAAACCGTGTGAGTTCAACCACATTAAAAGTTAAATACAGAACTCATAAACATATTCAATTGCTGTGTGAACTTTGCCATAGTCTCTGGGTTATGATGGGTGGTAGTGTGTTTATTTATAGACATACTTTGGGCGTATAATTGTCCCTGTTTCCCATAATTATGGGAAATAAAAAATGTTTACCCACACATTGTGTCTTGACTTGCCATTATTGGCTCTCATGCACTTGCAAAGTCAGTTTAGGAATCCCAAGATGTGGCAACATAACAAACATCTATTCAGAAAGCTAAATTAGCAATGAAACCTGTGTGGTTTATTATATATAGTAATAGTATATTATATATGGTTTGTTGTCGGGTCATGTCATCTAGTACTCAATAGTTGTCTGGTGTAGGGCTGTATGGCATGAGCTCAGATTTTGCGTCAACAATTTGTTCTTTCCTTCCAGCCATTGCTAATGATAAGTATGTGATTTCTAGATCGCTAAACTCCGCCAGCAGCTCCAGCGCAGTTTGCAGGGAAGTTGCAATATCAAGGAGAACGAAGAAGTGACGCAGCTGAACCAGGTCCAGGTACTGTAGATCGACGTCATCATGTGTGCTCGGATAGTTTAGCTTGCATCTCTGCCTTTTTAGGGTTTTATTTGATCTTTAACCCGAAGTAGCCTTTTACCCATAACCATAACTCTTTAAAGCAATTTTGGGGTCTTATAATCAGAATATTGGGCTTTTTTAACTTTTGAATGGTAGTGTATATGTTTGTGTGTGTGTATATATATATATTGTTGTGAAACATTATTACAATTTTAAATAACTTTTTTTCTATTTTTTTCTATTATTTTTTTTGGTCAAAACATGATACAGTTTTTTCATGATTTTAACTTCTTATTAGAATTTAATTTCTATCTTTACTTGCAAATGAGTATACACATTTTATTAGCAACGTTTCGGTCGGTCGTGAGATAGTGATGTACTGATAGTGTGCGGGAGTTCCTTGTTTTTTTTTTGTGTGTTGATTTTTTGACCTACTTAGTTGGTCTTTCTTTCCCACGCACCTATCACCTGCAGGCGTGCGATGGCGTTTGCTAATTAATTTCTATCTTTGAAATAATTTTACCTTCTTATTTTTATCTTTTACATTTTGGAGTGAAATTTGATACTGTCTATTTTTGTGAGATTAACCCATATTTATAGAGGCAATTTCAGACATTAATCAGGTGACTTTGACATTAATGTACTTGCTAGTCTAATTAGTCTCTTTAATGAAGATGTGCTTTTTGTTTTTCAGCCAAAGCGACTCACTGCATCTTCAACTAATATGATCCATTCAAGACCCCTCATATGTAGAATGCCCAGCTATAGTGACTGTATTAACCAGGAGCTGGAGAGTGTCTTCATCTGTGAGGACTGGGGGAGGGAAGAGGAGAAGGTACACACACACACACACACACACACACACTCACTCACTCACTCACTCACTCACTCACTCACTCACTCACTCACTCACTCACTCACTCACTCACTCACTCACTCACTCACTCACTCACTCACTCACTCACTCACTCACTCTTCAATGGAACATTTCAAGGTTGTAAGACTGTAATTGTAGCGTGTTTGTCCTGGTGTTTCAGCCTCTGGAGGTGCGAGACGGTGGCCGTGCTCCTGTTCCTCCTCTTCATCACGGTGATCTTCATCACACTCACAGCACTGAGACACAGATGTCCTGCAGTCCCTGTTTCTGCTGCTCTCCTCCTGCAGACACTGACAAAGGTAGAGCACTCTCTATGCTACTCATTAACTCCTATGGCAGATATCAAATTACCATGGTATTGCCATCTGATACCATCACTGTACTGTGGTACTTTCACAGTATTTTATTAGGGAAGGTTTGCTTAAATAAACAGCTTTATTTTGTCCTTTAAGATTACAGGAATGGTTCACCTCTGCCTCAGTTTTCCAGCTCTCCCAAACCCAACAACAGTTATACGTTTAAACGTGAGCCTCCCGAGGGCTGTGAGAAGGTCAAAGTGTTTGAAGATCTCATGTAAGTACCATTGACTGCACTACAGTGGATTCTCATAAAACCCTTTTTTTAAAACCATATTGTTGTACACATCCACAGAGCATGCTTTGGGTTTTGGTACAAGGTTTTGCTTGAAGTTTTCTGGTAAAACTTCTCAGTGGGCTTCAGTTTAGCTCACATGTTATACTTGTTTTTTAGTACCATAGTATTGCCTTTAATGTGGAAAATAACATGACTTTTTCCCAGTCATTTGTTATTTTAAAAATAATTAAAAATATATTTAAAAAAATTATATAGATTTTATAGAACAGTTTCTAAGTTGTGTAGTTTAGTTGTGCTATATTATATGAAAACAGATTTATATTTGCATGTTTAATGTAATAAATCAGTATATATATATATATATATATATATAAAGGATTTTAATGGCCACCAACTTTGTTGTTTGCTTATTCTTTGACTTCATTACTATTTTTCTTGATCTTCATATATTATTGATTTATTTTTTATCTCATAGCACTTGTAGGACACAAGGCTTTCCCATCTTTTCCTGCCCCGACAGAAACAAGGTGAACTTCACTCCAAGTGGCTCTGCCTTCTGTCCTGTAAAGCTGCTGTGTTCGTCTCTATTCCCATCAGATGCTGCTGCTCGTCCCAGTCCGCTGGATAATCACACTTCAGATCAGATGTCTGGTCCACAAAACAGCTTCCCGCTGCGGCCCGTGGCCTCTGAACGCTGCAGTATTAGGAAGTGCCTGCTGCTCAGTTAGCCAATCAGAGCTCAGATCTGACTCCGCTTTCTAGGAAATTTCGTACTTGCTAATGGTTGCACAAAAGGACCATTTTGTTGTACATTGAACTTTATCTTGCAGTTTCATGTAATTCTGCTGGAATGCACAAATCTTTACTTAATCTTACAGCACATCCTACTAACCAGGTAAAACACATATGACAGTATCAGTAGCTGTAATCCAACAGCCCACAATACTCTTTCATGCCTTAACACAGAACTCAGGCTTAGCTTCCATTAGGGCTGAATGATATAGCTATAGTTAATTATATCTCAATATTATTTTTCAGTCTTTTGATGATATATATATATATATATATTTTCATTAGAGGAACCGTCATTTCACCACAACAGTCATTGCTAGCAAAATAATTGCACATATAGTGTGCATATTCACAATACTACCCAGCCCTAACATTCATACGTCCCTGTTTGAGTCATAATGACAATAATAATGTTTTTTGTCATTTTAGGGTCTTCCTCTTTATTCATGTGACACTGTTATGGTGTATAAATATAACTGCTGGATGCTCATATTAAAGTGACATTTGTAAAGTAGAATATTTGCGTGTATGTGCTTCCTAATATTTTTTTTTTTGTTGAATTGGGAATGCAGGATTTTTTTTTACATTAGTACTGAGACTATATATTAGGTGTTATGTGGATTTAGTTACAAAAAATCATCATCGATCAATCATCTTTTACTGCAATAACTCATAAATCTACATATTTAAATATCAGTTTCCAGTTAGTTTTTGAATATATAGAGTGCACAAATGTAAAATTACACATCTTTTATTAATTCATTTCATGCCATCCAGTTACATATTAATGGTAGAACTGTAAACACAATAATACAGCACAAAATATTGAAATTTATATGGAATTATTTGGTGTAGCGGTTTCTGATTTATTGTGATGCATTTATTTTTCTCTTTCTAGGAAAGCACTGATACTAAGAACTGACTTCAGTATAAGGCAATTTGTTTCCACAGGGTATTAGGTGTTATGTGGATTCACATTTACAAAAGCATGTTTATTACATTTTATTGCACTTACATGTTTGCAGGTATGTGTAGTTGAAAGGTAATACCCAGGTATTCATATTTAAAATGCTTCAGGATATTTGTAGTACGATGGACCCAGTTTTCAGGCACACACACATATAATCAGCACAAATACAATTAAACAACATGTACATAAATGCTTACTTCATAGGACCTGATATGTCCACGTTTTTACCAACGTTTGGTATTCCTGTCAAAAATAATAGAGTACAATAGTCAGGTTCTGGAAAAAATAAATAAATCGAATAATGTTTAAATCTTTCAAACCAGACCTACCATGAGCACTGAGGTTTTTTATTATTTTTTAAGGGGGAAAAAATACTTCCAGAACCAAGACTGTAAAAAGTAGGTGGTTAGAGTTGCATTCTACAACTTATCCATACATCTAAAAAATATATACACTGTAACAGCTGCTTTCACATCAGATAAAGTTTCCATAAGATAATATACAATATGACTTTCATCAAAATAAATGAATTCAAGGACCCCTCTCATATTTAAGGCTTTTGAAATGCAGCATTAGTTTTAGTAGTCAGCACTAAATTAAGACAAACATTTACAATAAATAGTGATTTACAAAAAAACATGCAATATCACAATATACAAACCAAAAACGACTTACTGTTGCTGATAATGTTGAGAAATGTTAATATATACATTTATGTAAAACAAGTAAATCCACAATGTTATGGCAAATCAAACTGCCTTGACAATACTAGCAATAGAAAAGGAATCAAGGCCAGAGTGATTATTATTAATTTCCTTTGGCAGCAAATATTTCTTCATTAAATAATTAAGGTTTACTGCTATGGCATAAAGAAATCACTTGATATCTGTCCAGATCTGTAGGCCTCTTGCATAAACTGCCGTTTGTGCGACAAGAGCGATAAAGTGCATCTGGATCAGGGCAGATTAAGCGTTCAGTAGTTCGTCTTCCTCATTGGTTCGGCCGATTGCATCCGGGTTTGACAGCGGATCCAGATCGGCAAACAGATTGAACCAAGCAGAGAGATCTTTTGAGGTATCTGTAATTGAAAATAAAAGATGATTAAAAGATGCATTACAATATATTCAATATACATAAGACAAGCTAAAGTTAGAGGTGTACATATTTGCTCTGAAATTTGGTCTCAATTGTATGTATCTATTTCTTTTTTAACCCTCGTGCACTGTTCGATTTCTGGGAATAACCATAGTCGGGGTAAAATCGCCCCTAATTGGATTCAATACAATTCTTGCCTTAGAACATAAAAATATGCGGGTCAGATTGACCCACGAACATCACAAACGTGAATGTGAACATGTTTTGTGTATATGTCAAAACACATCAGTGTATTGAAACTTTGCATTCATGTTCATGACCCTAAATGAGAAAAAGTCACAAAATTTCAAGAAAAACAACAGGTTTAATTGTATTTCAGATAGATTGAAATAAGAAATGATAGCTCATTTTTACCATATGTGGCGGACAAAATATTTTTCTGTATTGAAATAAGTGGGGAAAAGCTCATTTTCTAGCTTCATAGGGAAGTAAAAAACTAAAATAACAAAATATAACCAAGATATGTTATTATTTTGGGTCTGTACAGTTGCCTTAGAACGTTAAATGATGTGGTCATATGGGTCAAACTGATCCACTAACATCACAAACGTAACAGAAATTATGTATATGTCAAAACATGAACATTGAAATTTTGCATGCATGTTCATGACCATAAATGAGAAAAAGTCACAAAATTTCATTGGAAGCAAGTATTAAATTCTGTGTCAGATCAATGCATCACAATGGATCAATTCATGTTTAGACTCCCAATGTTGAGTCTGACACACTATAAAAGGCTCTGATCATTTACCTTTCGCTGCAGATTTGGAAGAGATTTGACTCGCTACAGAGGAGCTTTCAGGGATATTCTGTGGAATGGCTGTTGCCCAACCTGGAATACAGACCAAATTAAAGAGAATTTACAGTAGATGTATACTACTGTTTTTTTATTTAAGCTAGGATGCATTAAATTGATCACAATTCACAGTGAAGACATTTATAATGTTACAACATATTTCTTATTGACCTTTCACTAATCAAAGAATCCTGATTTTTTTTTTTAAAACATGGTTTCCACAAAAATATGAAGCAGCACAAGTGTTTTCAACATTTATAATGAAAATTTTAATTAAGTCAATGATTTCTGAAGGATCATGTGACACTGAAGACTGGAGTAATGATGCTGAAAATTCAGCTTTGATCACAGGAATAAATCAAAATTTCAAAACATAATTTAATAGAAATAGTTATTTTAAATTGTTTTTACATTTTAAATTTTAAATGAATATTTCAAGTTTTACTGTATTGTTGATCAAATAAGCGCAGCCTTGGGGAGCATCTTTTAAAAACATAAAAAAGGGGTAGTGTATATTTTGTTCCATGATGATCAATTATTATTGTATCAGATGAACTGGCCCCTAAAGGACCCGGCTGGTTACAGTAAGAGCCTGTTTTTGTCTACAATGAACCAACTTCCTGCCAGTAGTCGGATATCTCTGTTCACCTGAGGCCGTGGACTGTCGGTCGTTGATGTTCTGGTCGAGTAGTTTGGAAGGCAGGAAGAAGGCGTACTCTTCCTCAGAGGGCTGGATCTCTGCTCTGCTACTGCCGGCCGGCTCATCCTCCCCAAACACCTCACGCCATTCCTGCGAGAAACCCCTGTCCTCCAGAGAACTGCTGCCCAGAATCTCATCCAACAAACTCAAGCCATCCTTCTCCTGACCGCCAGAGAAACACTCATCATTTCCTGTATGTGCAGTGTACAGAGAGAGAAAAAAGGCATTGTTGATCATGTTTAAAGCTTTAAACAGGTCTTTTGGGGCTTTTTTTAGTGCATAATGTTGCTGTTTGAGCATGAAAAGGGTTGACCAATCACAACACACTGGTCCAGCCGACCAATCAGAGCACATTGTGCTTTTCAGAAGGAGGGGCTTCATAGAGACAGGAACTAAACAGGGCGATACTGACAGACTGGGAAGAGAGGAGCTGCAACAATGGAGAATATGTGACAAATAATGTGTTTATTGAACATTCAAGCTTGTTTTTGAAAGAGCCCTTTTTGGGACTTTGGAAAAGGGCATTATAGGTCCCCTTTAAGGATGAATATTAGTTATTGTGTTATTCCTGTGGACTCATGTATAACACGTGTGTATGAAAGCTTTACCTGTTTGTACTGAGTTACTGCTCAGAGTTTCTTGTTCAATTGAAATAAGCCTGAAACAGAAGAAACGAGCGATTAGAGGTGTGTATCACATAATAAACGAAGGAAATGAGGACTGAAAAGCTCCTACGTTTCATCTGTATTCTGACTCGTCTCCTCGTCTTCTGCTTTTGCCTTTGTTTTCTTCTTCACCTTTTTCTTTGAAGCTTGATCTGAACCCTGGAGTATCAGACACAACAGATGAACATATTTGTTGAACATGCATCATAATATCACAGCCTGTTTGTCCAAACAATGGTAGATGGGTGAGCATTTAATAATTTAAGACAATTTATTTTTTTTATTTTTTTGCCATTCCATCTGGTGACACTAGTCTGGCAGAAATTAAAACACACACACACAAAAAACACAAACCTGGGGCAAAAGCCCATTTTGGGATAAGTATATGTTCCTATTGTGAATAACTTTCCCCACATAGTATGAGAGCAATCCTCTACTGATAGAGACGATATTAAGATGATGTTCCATAATTCACCACTCAAGAGTTTGTTGACGGGGAGATTTTAGAAATGTTTTTGAAAGAAGTTTCTTATGGTCACCAAGGCTGCATTTATACGAGCAATAAAAACAGTAGTATTGTCAAATATTATTGCAATTTAAAATAACTGTTTTCTATTTTAATATATTTTAAAATGTAATTTATTCCAGCAGAATTTTCTCAGCATCATTACCCCATACTTCAGTGTCACATGATCCTTCAGAAATCATTCTAATATGCTGCTCAAGAAACATTTACTTTTATGATCAAGGTTGGAAACAATAAACGTATTTATTTTAGGATTATTTGATGAATAGAAAGTTTAAAAGAACCGCATTTGTTTAAAATAGAAATGTTTTGT